TTGCCACTATGCTGAATAATAGTGGCAAGAGTGGACATCCTTGTCTTGTTCCTGATCTTAGAGGAAACGCTTTCAGTTTTTCACCATTGAGAATGATGTTTGCTGTGGGTTTGTTGTATATGGCCTCTATAATGTTGAGGTAGGTTCCCCTCTATGCCCACTTTCTGGAGAGTTTCTATCATAAATCGGTGTTGAATTTTGTCAAAAGCTTTTTCTGCATCTATTTACATGATCATATGGTTTTTATTCTTCAATTTGTTAATGTGGTGTGTCACATTTATTGATTTGCATATATTGAAGAATCCTTGCATCCCTGGGATAAATCCCACTTGATCATGGTGTATGATCCTTTTAATGTGTTGTTGGATTCTGTTTGCTAGTATTTTGTTGAGGATTTTTGCATATATATTCATCAGTGATATTGGTCTGTAATTTTCTCTTTTTGTAGTATCTTTGTCTGGTTTTGGTATCAGGGTGATGGTGGCCTCGTAGAATGAGGCTGGGAGTGTTCCTCTACAACTTTTTGGAAGAGTTTGAGAAGGATGGGTGTTAGCTCTTCTCTAAATGTTTGATAGAATTCACCTGTGAAGCCATCTGGTCCTGGACTTTTGTTTGCTGGAAGATTTTTTTTTTTTTTTTTGCGGTACGCGGGCCTCTCACTGTTGTGGCCTCTCCCATTGCGGAGCACAGGCTCCAGACGCACAGGCTCAGCGGCCATGGCTCACGGGCCCATCCGCTCCGCGGCATGTCGGATCTTCCTGGACCGGGGCATGAATTCGTGTCCCCTGCATCAGCAGGCGGACTCTCAACCACTGCGCCACCAGGGAAGCCCTGGAAGATTTTTAATCACAGTTTCAATTTCATTACTTGTGATTGGTCTGTTCATACTTTCTATTTCTTCCTGGTTCAGTCTTGGAGGGTTATACCTTTGTAAGAATTTGTCCATTTCTTCCAGGTTGTCCATTTTATTGGCATAGAGTTGCTTGTAGGAGTCTCTTAGGATGCTTCATATTTCTGCAGTGTCCGTTGTAACTTCTCCTTTTTCATTTCTAATTTTATTGAGTTGAGTCCTCTCCCTGTTTTTCTTGATGAGTCTGGCTAAAGGTTTATCAATTTTGTTTATCTTCTCAAAGAACAAGCTTTTAGTTGTATTGGTCTTTGCTATTGTTTTCTTTGTTTCTATTTCATTTATTTCTTCTCTGATCTTTATGATTTGTTTCCTCCTACTAACTTTGGGTTTTGTTTGTTCTTCTTTCTCTAGCTCCTTTAGGTGTAAAGTTAGACTGTTTATTTGAGATTTTTCTTGTTTCTTGAGGTAGGATTGTATTGCTATAAACTTCCCTCTTAGAACTGCTTTTGCTGCATCCCATAGGTTTGGGATCATCATGTTTTCGTTGTCATTTTTCTCTAGATATTTTTTGGTTTCCTCTTTGATTTCTTCAGTGATCTCTTGGTTATTTAGTAATGTACTGTTTAGTCTCCATGTATTTGTGCTTTTTACGTTTTTTTCCCTGTAATTTATTTCTAATCTCATAGTGTTGTGGTTGGAAAAGACGCTTGATATGATTTCAGTTTTCTTAAATTTACCAAGGCTTGATTTGTGACCCAACATGTGACCTATCCTGGAGAATGTTCTGTGTGCACTTGAGAAGAAAGTGTAATCTGCTGTTTTTGGATGGAATGTCCTATAAATATCAATTAAATCTATCTAGTCTATTGTCAATTAAAGCTTGTGCTTCCTTGCTAATTTTCTGTCTGATCTGTCCATTGGTGTAAATGAGGTGTTAAAGGCCCCCACTATTATTGTGTTTTCCTGTCAATTTCCTCTTTTATAGCCGTTAGCATCTGCCTTATGTATTGAGGTGCTCCTATGTTGGGTGCATATATATTTATAATTGTTGTATCTTCTTCTTGGATTGATTCCTTGATCATTATGTAGTGTCCTTCCTTATCTCTTGTAACAGTCTTTATCTTAAAGTCTATTTTATCTGATATGAGTATTGCTACTCCAGCTTTCTTTTGATTTCCTTTTACATGGAATATATTTTTCCATCCCCTCACTTTCAGTATGTATGTGTCCTGAAGTGCGTCTCTTGTAGACAGCATATATATGGGTCTTCTTTTTGTATCCATTCAGCAAGCCTGTGTCTTTTGGTTGGAGCATTTAATCCATTCACACTTAAGGTAATTATCGATATGTATGTTCCTATTACCATTTTCTTAATTGTTTTGGGTTTGTTTTTGTAGGTCCTTTTCTTCTCTTGTGTTTCCCATGTAGACAAGTTCCTCTAGCATTTGTTGTAGAGCTGGTTTGGTGGTGCTGAATTCTCTTAGCTTTTGCTTGTCTGTAAAGCTTTTGATTTCTCCGTCGAATCCGAATGAGATCCTTGCTGGGTACAGTAGTCTTGGTTGTAGGTTCTTCCCTTTCATCACTTTAAGTATATCATGCCACTCCCTTCTGGCTTGTAGAGTTTTTGAGAAATCAGCCGTTAACCTTACGGGAGTTCCCTTGTATGCTATTCGTTGTTTTTCCCTTGTTGCTTTTAATAATTTTTCTTTGTCTTTAATTCTTGTCAATTTGATTACTATGTGTCTTAGCGTGTTTCTCCTTGGGTTTATCCTGCCTGGGACTCTCTGTACTTCCTGGACTTGGGTTGCTATTTCTTTTCCCATGTTAGGGAAGTTTTTGACTATAATCTCTTCAAATATTTTCTCGGGTCCTTTCTCTCTCTCTTCTCCTTCTGGGACCCCTGTAATGTGAGTGTTGGTGTGTTTAATACTGTCCCAGAGGTCTCTTAGGCTGTCTTCATTTCTTTTCATTCTTTTTTCTTTAATCTGTTCTGTGGCAGTGAATTCCACCATTCTGTCTTCCACTTCACTTATCCATTCTTCTCCCTCAGTTATTCTGCTACTGATTCCTTCTAGTGTATTTTTCATTTCAGTTATCGTATTGTTCATGTCTGTTTGTTTGTTCTTTAATTCTTCTAGGTCTTTGTTAAACATTTCTTGCATCTTCTTGATCTTTGCCTCCATTCTTTTTCCAAGGTCCTGGATCATGTTCACTATCATTATTCTGAATTCTTTTTCTGGAAGGTTGCCTATCTCCACTTCACTTAGTTGTTTTTCTGGGGTTTTATCTTGTTCCTTCATCTGGGACATAGCCCTCTGCCTTTTCATCTTGTCTGTCTTTCTTTGAATGTGGTTTCTATTCCACAGGCTGCAGGATTGTAGTTCTTCTTGCTTCTGCTGTCTGCCCTCTGGTGGATAAGGCTATCTCAGAGGCTTGTGCAAGCTTCCTGATGGGAGGGACTGATGGTGGGTAGAGCTTGGTGTTGCTCTGGTTGGCAGAGCTCAGTAAAACTTTAATCTGCTTGTCTGCTGATGGGTGGGGCTGAGTTCCCTCCCTGTTGGTTGTTTGGCCCGAGGCAACCCAGCACTGGAGGCTACAGGCTCTTTGGTGGGGCTAATGGCAGACTGTGGGGGGGGGGGGGGCATGGGCTCATGCCAAGTAGTACTTCCCAGAACTTCTGCTGCCAGTGTCCTTGTCCCCATGGTGAGCCACAGCCAGCCCCCGCCTCTGCAGGAGACCCTCCAACACTAGCAGGTAGGTCTGGTTCAGTCTCCTATGGGGTCACTGCTCCTTACCCCTGGGTCCTGATGTGCACACTACTTTGTGTGTGCCCTCCAAGAGTGGAGTCTCTTTCCCCCAGTCCTGTCGAAGTTCTGCAATCAAATCCCACTAGCCTTCAAAGTCTGATTCTCTGGAAATTCCTCCGCCCATTGCCAGACACCCCAGGCTGGGAAGCCTGACGTGGGGCTCAGAACCTGCACTCCAGTGGGGGGACTTCTGTGGTATAACTGTTCTCCAGTTTGTGAGTCACCCACCCAGTGGTTATGGGATTTGATTTTATTCTGATTGCACCCCTCCTACCATCTCACTGCAGCTTCTCCTTTGCCTTTGGATGTGGGATATCTTTTTTGGTGAGTTCCAGTGTCTTCCTGTCGATGACTGTTCAGCAGTTAGTTGTGATTCTGGTGCTCTCATGAGAAGGAATGAGTGCATGTCCTTCTACTCCACCATCTTCCACAAAATCTTCACAGTAGCTGTCTCGAGGTGATAAAAGATGATTGACTGTTTTTCTTTTTAAACTTTTCTGTATTTTCTGAATTTTCTAAAATAATATTGGTGAGACAGTATTGCCAGCCTCTGGAGCCAGACCACCCAAGGTAAAAACCTGATTCTGACATTTGTAAGCTGTATGACCTTGGGCAGGTTGTGTATTTTCTATGTGACTCTGTTTCCTCATCTGTAGAACATAGGAATGATAATAATAATACTTACCAAATAAGTGTATTGTAAGGATTGAGTTAACATGTGATAGGCCTTACAGACAGGATCTTGCATGCAGTAACTGCTTTAAATTCTAACTATTATTATTACCTTTATGAACAGAAAACATAGATTGGCAACTCCGTATAAAATCTGACAGAAGATGACACTATTAACCAGAATAGTACCGTAGTAAGTTTGAATTTCTCCATGTCTTCTCATGAAGTTGGCCTTTGGGGCCACTGAAATCTGACATTTAATCATCTTATAGGACTTCCCTGGTGGTCCAGTGGTTAAGAATCCGCCTGCCAATGCAGGGGACACGGGTTTGAGCCCTGGTCCGGGAAGATCCCACATGCCTTGGAGCAAGTAAGCCTGTGCGCCACCACTACTGAGCCTGTGCTCTAAAGCCCGTGAGCCACAACTACTGAAGCCCACGCGCCTAGAGCCCATGCTCCACAACTAGGGAAGCCTCCGCAATGAGAAGCCTGTGCACTGCAACGAAGAGTAGCCCCCCACTCACCGCAATTAGAGGAAGCCCGCGCACAGCAACGAAGACCCAGTGCAGCCATAAATAAATTAATTAATTAATTTTAAAAAATCATCTTATAAATTTTTTTCCCCCAAACTAAAATCCTTGATGTGTTTTTTTTTTTCTTTTCTTTCTCAGGGAGGAGCTTTTTATTTCATGGAGCATGTAGCAGCTAAGCCTTCAACCTGGAATTACTTCTGGCAACAGGTCCTGAATCCTGTCTGGTACCTTCTGTTTGATGGATGCCACCTGACCAGAGAGAGCTGGAAGGCCCTGGAGTGCGCCCGCTTCTCCAAGCTGAAGCTGCAGCACTTACAGGCACCCCTGTCCTGGGAGCTCCTGCGCCCTCACATCTACGGCTATGCTGTGAAATAGGAGTTGAGACCTGAAGGGCTCGAATAATTTAAGGTTTGGGTTTTACACTTAAAATACTAATTGGGGGACTTCCCTCGTGGTGCAGTGGTTGAGAGTCTGTCTGCCAATGTGGGGACCCAGGTTCAATCCCTGGTCCGGAGGATCCCGCATGCCGTGGGGCAACTAAGCCCGTGTGCCACGGCTGTTGAGCCTGTGCTCTGGAGCCCACGAGCCACAACTACTGAGGCCACGAGATACAACTGCTGAGGCCCGTGCACCTAGAGCCCATGCTCCACAGCAAAGAGTAGGCCCTGCTCAACACAGCTAGAGAGGGCCTGCACACAGCAATGAAGATGGAACACAGCCACACACACACACACACACACACACACACACACACACACACACACACACAAAACTAATTGGGAGAAGGGAACCCCCTTTTTCAGGTAAATTTGAATTTCATCACTAAAAGTTTATGTTATAACCTATTTAGCTATTTTCTATTGTCTCCCAAAGAATCAAAAACAAAACAAAACAGCTTTGAACTCTCCCTTAAAAGAAACAATGGGCTTTCATAATTGAAGTCCACCATTATCCTCAAACCTTACTTTATTCAGTAACTTCAAATTTTTTCTGTCTTATTTAAATTATTACCCAACAGATTTTAATTTTACCTTCTCTTTGAGAGGTTGATGCTAATTAGCAGTTAAATCACTCAAAAGAAGACTCTGAAGAGGGAGATGTGAAAAGATCTTTTTTTTTAATTAATTCATTTATTTATTTATCTTTGGCTGCGTTGGGTCTTCGTTGCTGTGCGTGGGTTTTCTCTAGTTGCGGCACGCGGGCTTCTCATTGTGGTGCCTTCTCTTGTTGAGGAGCACAAGCTCTAGGTGCACGGGCTTCAGGAGTTGTGGCTCACAGGCTCTAGAGCACAGGCTCAGTAGTTGTGGCGCACGGGCTTAGTTGTTCCGCGGCATGTGAGATCTTCCTGGACCAGGGCTCAAATCCGTGTCCCCTGCATTGTCAGGTGGATTCTTAACCACTGCGCCAGCAGGGAAGTCCCAAAAAAATCTTAATAATTCACAAACTAAATAAAGAAATACTAATTAGTTGAAAACTCCAAACCTAAACAGCACAGATTTTTTTTTTTTAAAGAAATCTGAATCGGGGCTTCCCTGGTGGCGCAGTGGTTGAAAATCCGCCTGCCGATGCAGGGGACACGGATTCGAGCCCCGGTCTGGGAAGATCCCACATGCCGCGGAGCGGCTGGGCCCGTGAGCCGTGGCCACTGAGCCTGCATGTCCAGAGCCTGTGCTCCGCAACGGGAGAGGCCGCAACAGTGAGAGGTCCGCGTACCGCAAAAAAAAAAAAAAAAAAAAAAAAAAAAGGAAAACTGAATATTTTTGTTGTCCTTAGTATCATTGGGCTGGCTTTCAAAATTAATGTACCAGGATGCCACACCTAGTTCTGCCCAGCTTTGTTATGTTTTTTATTCTGGTATTCTACCACAGTTTGTTTCCCTGCATTCCAGTCTTCAATTCTTAAGATGAAGTTTGTACTTCACACTTCAGTATATCCATAAAGCTACGTGAAGCAGTTAGAGTTCTTGCGTTCATTTTCCTTATTATCTAACGTATACTTTGCTGAATGTAGTAAATTGCAGGCAAAGAAAAGGCCCACTGTAATTAGAGAAACCTTGAATAACTAGATACGCTTTGTAAGAGCCGCCTCAAAATAGGCGAGCTGTGAGTCTGTAAAGAGGTAGAGAAATACTGTTCGGATTATTCTGATCAAATTTCCACTCTGGTCTCAAGATGATTTCTTTGTTCCCTGTAACCATGGAAACCTTGGAAAATCATCACAAGTGCTTTGAAAACAAGTTGGTCAATAAGAGGACTTAGAATTTTCAGCAATAGTTTGCATGCATTTTAATAAATTTAGAATATTTTCTGAGATGATTTTGCAGAGTACTTTAAATATCAAATCAATAAATTCACAGACATTTTAGGAATGGAAATAAAATTAATGGTTTATATCTTTGCTGGCTTGGTTTCATTTTTCTTAGTGTCTCTGGGAGGGCTTTCCTTCACTGTGGAAAATTAAGCTATTTGAACATACAGATTTTTTCTTCCACAGCCAGATAACTCTAAATACAGCTAGCAGATATTATTTATTTATTTATTTATTTATTTATTTATTTATTATTTGGCTGCGTTGGGTCTTCGTTGCTGCGCGTGGGCTTTCCCTAGTTGCGGCGAGCAGGGGCTACCCTTCATTGCAGTGCACAGGCTTCTCATTGTGGTGGCTTCTCTCGTTGCGGAGCATAGGCTCTAGGTGCGTGGACGTCAGTAGTTGCGGCGTGAGGGCTCAGTAGTTGTGGCACGAGGGCTCAGTAGTTGTGGCGCATGGGCTTAGTTGCTCCGCAGCATTTGTGAAATCCATAGAGCAGTACTATTCTCTCTTGAGCGTGAAAACAGTTAATGTTTCAGTGAGGTTAGGACATGCATCTATGGCCTCCTGAGCTATGGAACATGAATATGCTCCCTCTATGGTCTTCCAAAAGTAGGAGCCTCCTTATTTACCCACCTCACTACTGGTTAGGTCAGTCTAGGGATTGAGAAATATGAAAAGCCACAGGTTGACATGGTGAAGTGTTACTGCCACATTGAAAGGTGAGCCATACCAAAGTACAAAGTACTAGGCACATTCTTATCAACTCCCTCTTGTTTAAATAGGGTAGCAAAAATTTTTTTTTAATATTTATTTATTTGGCTGCCCCAGGTCTTAGTTTCGGCACATGGGATCTCAGTTGCAGCATGCAGGATCTAGTTCCCTGACCAGGGATCGAGCCTGGGCCCCCTGCATTGGGAGCGTGGAGTCTTAGCCACTGGACCACGAGGGAAGCCCCAGTGTAGCAAATATTATCCTCACTCTTTATAGGTGCAGAAAAATAAGTAAGTGAAATTTCTTACATTCCACAAGTTACTGAGCAAGTCCTAGGGCCACGATTCCTAAAACCACAACACCTGTTTTGACAAGCATCGCTGCCGTATTACCTTCTCACTGCTTTCTTCCCCAGGCCCAGAAAACACACGTTTATGATCATTCAAAGAGCCTAAGGAAGTGACCTAAGCCTGTGCAAAATGGAAACAGAAAAGAGTCAAAACATGTCCGGTGTCTTTTAGGTCCTGTGTTGGTTAGATTCCCTTGATTGCAGGTGACAGAACTCCCAATCCAAAAAGGCTTATGCAGAAAAAGGACTCCACTGACTCAAATTAGTGAAAAGTATTCGGGCAGAAAACCTCAGGCACAGCTTGAGCAAGGCTCAGATAATGTTATCAGGAGCCAGACAGTGTCTAGGGTCACATCTGCCCTCCCCTCTGTTTCAGGTGGTGAGTCTCTGAAGTAATGCCAATCTCCATGCTTCCAGGGCCCATGGCCAGTTGGAAAGATCAAGTCCACTTTTGCAAAGACTCCAACCAAAGTTCTAGATTGAGTCTCAATTGGCTCTTATTGACAATATTAGGCCCCAAGCCCACCCCTGAGTCAATCATCATATTTCAATGGGATGAGTCATACTGATTGGCACAATGCTTCGTCCCTAGGGCTGAGCTCACCCAGACCATGTGCACTGAGACATGGAGAGCTGTGTATCCTCCAAATGAAAGCAGAGCCTGTGACTGGGGAAAGCACGAAGGCACACTACGAATGTGCATTATAAGTACAAAGCTACATTCTGATCAGACCCTCTGCCGGCTTTTCTGTGGTACATCACGTAGTGCCACGCTTAGAACACTGGCTTTTCAGTGGGATAATAGCACGCAATGAGAGAAATAAAAGAAAAAAGGACACTGGCTTTGGCATCAAAGTGACATGGGTCAAGCTCTGGCTGTGCCATTCGTTGACTATGTGACCTGGGGCATGTTACTTTTCTAGTGTCACTTTCCTCATCTGTTAATGGGGATAAGAATACCTAAAAGGGTTACTCTGAGGAGTTAATGAAGTGAGGTACTTGGTGCTTAATAAATGCTGAACTTCATTCGACAAATATTTACTGAGTGCCTATTGTGTACTCTGCTCTTAGTGACTGGCTTAGAGCCCTGAATAAGCTAGACTTGTTCCCTGCCCTGGTGGAGCATACAGTTGTGATCAGTGCTCTCTAAGAGAGAGAAGTGCAGGGTACAGGAGAATGGAATCTGACCCTCCTCGGGGGAGGGTCAGAGGCTTCCCTGGGGAAGTGACGTGTGAACTGAATTCCAGACGATGAATAAAGAGTATTTCAGCCTAATGGAACAGCTTGTGCCACAGACACAATAAAAAGAAGAAACACAGTATGTTCAAGGAACTGAAAGGAAGTAGGCAGGGCTGGGCACCAGAGACTGAAGGGCAGATTTGGGGATGGCTACTATTCCATCAGCTTGTTCCTAATTTTGTTAAGGCCCTGGGTCCATGAGCTCAACACTTATTTTAATGGCTAACAACGACAACAAACAAAACAGTTAAATTTTATTATATTTATATAATATATATTTATTATATTCTGTTCCTAACTGTTCTGATATTCCAATTGCTTCTCCTGAATTCCTACCTATTTCACACTTGAATAGAAAGTGAGGCAAACATTACATAATAGTTCCTTTTGTACTCTTGACCCTAACGTAAGCCCTTCTCTTTGGTATTGCTTTAGAAAACACAGAGCTTAACGTAACTGAAATTCAATTCTTATTTATCTGTTGAGGCAATCATTACATAATAGTTCCTTTTGTACTCTTGACCCTAACGTAAGCCCTTCTCTTTGGTATTGCTTTAGAAAACACAGAGCTTAACGTAACTGAAATTCAATTCTTATTTATCTGTTGAGGCAATTGAGGGTGCAATGAATCACAGCAGACTAATGTCAACAAAAGCAAAAAATAAAACTATTCCATAAGCTTCACTTTAAATACCTCAAAATTTAAAACCAAAAGCATTCAGGCTATATTAAAGAATAACCAGAATTCCCTGAACCATGGAATCAC